GAGGAGGTGTCAGTGCAGCTGTAAAACAACCATCATTATGACTAAATATAAGTCAGGCGTTGCGTTCTGACCTCCAGCAGCAGGATGAGCAGCGCTCCCAGGACGCTGATGACCTCCCCGGCCAGACGCAGGCTGTCCTCATACGTCACATAACTCTCCTGGTGACACGAGATGAGAAGAAAACGTCATGAAGGAAGCTCTTGTGTCAGATGTGGCTCAGAAATAAACTACATCATAAACAGTGAATGCAGACCTGATAGAAAAACTATGAAGACACAAGTGAAATACACGACTGAGAATGAAAGTACCACAATAAGACTGGAATAGAAAAGCAAGAAGTAACACTGCAGTAGAGAAATAACATCAAATACTCCACATGAAGCTTACATACTGAAAATTACACTGAAACCAATTTAACACAAACTACAGAGACAGTAATACTACAGAAGACAACGGTTATTATTGTGGATGAGAGAGACAGAGATTCTATTATTATTTATAGTTTCATATAATATATCATATAGCATCTATTTAAAAGCTGCAGAACTTATATTTCTCTGTCGCTGTTCTGATTTCAGGTTAAAAAAACAAACCAAAACAAAAACGTTAGATGGAGAAAGGATTCAGATTATTTCTACTGAAATGTTTGATGTGTTTAGAAAAAGCAGCTCATCGTATAAAAATCCGACCAAAAAAAGATTTGTTTTATAGATTTATAATGTTTTTTTTTGTGTGTGTTGCGGTGAATAAAGTGGTTTTAGTTTGGACTCACGCTGAGGTTCTTCTGGACCCGGATGGTTTTGTCCATGTCGGACGTGGTGTAGTTCTCCGGAGCGTCCTTTAGGGGGCGAAACACGCAGCAGAGGGTGAAGGTGCCGATGTAGAGCAGGTAGAGCAAGAGCAGCAGCCTGAAGGCCGGCAGGGAGGAGAGAGAAGACCAGTGAAACCACAGCGGACACCAGCAGCACATCACGTGTTGTACAGCAGAGGGTAAAAAATCAATATAATATCTGTTAAAATCACAGGAAATAAAAGTATTAAATTAGCTGATACCTGCTAAAAAAAAACTGTGAATCACGTCCATCAAGCATCTGCTTTCACTGATATTAATTTGTTCTTTTACAGCGTTTAACTATAAAAGTTACACAGTTTTATTGTTTTTAAATCAGCGTAAAATATCATTATTTTACTGTCACCTGCTGTTATTTTAAAGAAAATTATATATACTAGAGATTTAAAAGAAAAATGTTAAACTGTTATTTTACAGGTTTTCTGTTTTGTTTCATAACAGATAATAATTAACATGCTGACTGTCAGAGATTTTAACAAACAGCAATTTGCTCTTTTACAAAGTTTGACTGAAGAATTCTACCTTTTATAAAATTGTATGTAAATCAGCAAAAAATAATTATTATTTAAAATAAATACGTATATTAAGGATTTAAAAATAGCTTTATTACTATTATATTTCATCAGATTTACTGAAACTTAATAAATTACAAATGATATCCAGTAAAATCTCAGAAACACACTTTTACTGATTTGTTCTTGTACAAAGTCTGACTGTAGAACTACACTTTTTCTTTTTTTTAATGCTGTATTTAAATCAGCAAAAATATGATTATTTTACTGATATTTGCTGTTATTAAAAGGTTTTTCCAGTTTTGTTTCACTGCAGATGACATTTAGTAAAATCACAGAACAAACGTCATGATTCAGACGTTCAGTGGTTAAAAATGTTCATAATAATGAATAAAAACGTGTCATTTATTATTTTAACGGTTGGCTTTTCACTTTATCTAAATCATCGTGATTTTACAGATAATTGTCGTTGTTTTCACAGTTTTTAATCATTTTTAAACGTGACAGTATTCAGTTTGTTTAACTTGTTTTTTCTCTGTCACCAGATGTTTGTTTTTCGGTAGAACTTCCTTCCAGGTGCACCACAGACAGAACCACAGACAGAACCACAGACAGAACCACAGACAGAACCACAGACGGAACCACAGACAGAACCACAGACGGTACCTGAAGTAGTGTTTCCCGTACAGGTTCCACTTCAGGCTGACCAGCTGCCTCACAGGCGTCACCTCCAGGATCCTTCGGGCCTGAACAACACAAACTGCGTCACATTTCTTTCCTACTTCAGACAGAACGGAGAGTAAATCCTGTGTCTGTGCTTCTGAACCTCTTTCTGGTGGCTGCCCACGATCAGCTCCAGCACCGACATGACGTCGGCCCACGAGTCGATCTCGGTCAGGTCGAACAGGTGAGAGCTCAGCGGGCCCAGACTCCACTGGACCACCCGCCTCTTGTTGACCAGGTGCTGGAACGCCTGGCGGAGGGAGGAACAGTAAAGTCACCGCGGCCCGTCTTTCCCGCTGCGGTTCCACCAGGACCTGAACTCACCACGATGTTGCCCTCCTTCGCCGCCAGCTTCAGCGGAGTGAGGCCTCGGTAGTTTGGCACCATGTCCAGCGACACCGGCTGGTCCAGCTCCGCGTCCCGGCTCAGGATCAGGTCCATGGCCTGGCAGGCGATGGTCTTGTTGGGTTGCAGAACCAGGATGTGGAGCAGCGTGTTGCCTGGAGAGAAGAATTTAATCAGTTATTAAGAACCTACACGACGGCAGGAAACCTCTTCAGGCTGAAACATCAGTGGATCCATTTAACTGATCCAACAAGACTGGATTAAGGATTCTTTGAGACAAACACGCCCCAAATTCACTGACACCAGCTTCTCCAACGTGTTGAGCTGCAACAATGAACCGTTGAATTAATCAGAAAGAATCTCATTGTTTTTCAATATTCAAGTTTCCATCCACATTTATCTGTCAGTCTTTAGTTTCCAGTGACTCCGATACCTGTCGCCTATTTTCTATTATTGAATCATTAAATTTACTTAAACTGTCTCTTCTGGTGATGTAGAAAGTCGTGTGCAAAAGTTAAATAAACACAAAAACAGACATTTCAGTAAAGTTTTACGTTCTTTATATCAGTTTGTATCTATTTTTTTTAAATTTTTTTTGTCCAATCTGTGATAAATCAAATGGCACAGACGATGATAAAGTAGAGCAGGATGAGATTTGTGGGCCCCTGGAGGTCTGAGGCGACTGGTTTTTATGAAATAATGCAGTGTTTCCTGTAACTGGAGGCTTTGGTACCTCTGCCGTCCTGGATCCTGGTGCTGGCTCCGGCATCGATCACCATGGCCATGATGTCCTCGTTTCCAGCGCAGGCAGCAAAGGACAGGACGTGTTCACCTGTTGGAGGGCAGATGTGACACGTCAGGACGCATAAAAAAGTCATTGGCGACCACGCCCTAAACCCAACAGGAAGTCCGCCATCTTGGAACCCGGGGAGATTTTTGTGGGATGTTTGCTGTTTTTCGGGCATTTTCTGAATCTATCTCCTCCTGGGGGAGAGGGACCGTCGTACACACCTGAAGTCTGGGCAGCAGAAACTACAGGACTTGGTGATTGAAAGACAAAAGTCTGACGGTGTGGAAATAGCGCCCCCTAGAATTTCAGTGATTTGCCATAAAACAGGAAGCGCTGTCTCACAACTTTTCAACCGATTACCCCGGGACGTACGCTTGGCCCAGACCTATGAAATTTGCAGATGGAGCACGTCAGGATGCGACCACGCCCTAAACCCAACAGGGAGTCTGCCATCTTGGAAAATCTGCAAGATTTTTGTGTGATTTTTGCTAATTTTTGGGGTATTTTCTAAATCTATTCATCTATTCATAATCTGATTCATTGGAGGCAGCTTGGGGTTCATACATTTATTTGTGTTTAATATATTCACATATTTACCGTGGTACAGAAGCCCTCCGATCCTCTTCCTGAAGTACAGACCGGTGACTCGAGGTGTGGCCACGTCGCCGCCTCGACCAATCAGGTGATAGACCAGGTTCATGTTCTGATTGGCTACAGCGATGTGTAGAGGAGTCACACCTGAGGCGGAGGACAGGTGGTGTTTCAGTGTGAAGCTTTGATTTAAACCTCCTGTGACCTCACCTGCTGCTACAGGTGAGCATCAGGTGAGGCTCTAAACTGATTCTATTGGTCAGACGCGTTTGTAAATAATTTACTTTGTACGCTGTAAAATGTAAAAAAAAGTAATTTACTATTATTTTACAGTTTTGTGAAACTACACATAATAATTAGTAAATTAGAAAATAAATTAATTTACATTAAAAAAGTCCAAAATTATAAATTTTCACACACACACGCACACACACACACACACACACACACGTATATATGTATATTTTTTTCAGTTAATAATTTGTTCTTTTACTATATTTGTCCATAAAGTTACACAATTTTTATGTATTTTGATTAAAATATAGATATAATTTTACAGATATTTGTTATTTAATGGAAAAATTATATTTATAAAGGATTGAAAAATGGTTAATAATTTTTTAAGCTTATTACTTTTTCAGATTTTCTCTGCTAAATGTCTAATTAAATTACTATAAAACTGTAAATAATGTTCACATCAAAAATATGTGTTTATATAAATAGTCATTTTTTTCTTTTACAAAGTTGAATCATAAAATTACGCTTTTTTTCTCTGTATCTAAATCAGTAGAAATTATGATAATTACACCAAATATCTGCTTAATTTCATATTTTTAATTTTTATTTTTACAGTTTTGTTTTTTTTTTAAGATTTTTTTTTTGGCCTTTTCTGCCTTTATTGACAGTGAAAGACAGACAGTGAAACGTGGGGGAATGACATTCAGCAAATGAGCCACTGGGTGGAATCGAACCCGGGCCGCTGGGTCGGGGACTGTAGCCCCTGTACATGGGTCGCCTGCCCGACCCGCTGAGCTGTCCAGGTTTACAGTTTACAGTTTTTAAAGCTATAGTATTCCTCTCACAGTTCTTTTATTATTATTTAATTATTATTATTTTTACAGTGTATATAAAATCTGCTTCGTGTGAAGGTTTGACGTTGCAGTTTATATTATTTATTGTTGTAAAAACGTTGTTCATCATGACTTAAATTATTGTCCTGGAACGAGCGGCCATGTTGGACTGTTCAGCTCCACCTGTTCACACCTTGAGATGCGACAGGACTCAGGCTGCACGTTGTGTGTTCGAATGTGTTTGAATGTGTTTGAATGTGTTTGAATGTGTCTGAATGCGAACCTTGGAAGAGCTCAGAGGTCATGGGCTCGTTGATGAGTTCAGGAGCTCCGTCCATCAGAGCCACGGCAGCGTCCACGTTGTCGCTCATCACGGCCACGTGCAGCGCCGTCTCTCCGAGGGCACCTGAACGAGACGAACACACCTTTAAACCAACAGCGGACGGATTTCAACCTTCAGACGGTCCTCGAATGTTTCCAACTGGAGAAATGAACCAAATCTGCACGTGTTGTTTAAGAAACTGAGACATTTTGCTGTAGATCCTATAAAAAAAATACAAATTCTGAGCTCGCAGCACAACTGATTCTCCATGACTTCTGAATGAAATAAGGTTTTACTGTGATGTCAGTTGTTTAAATGTTTGTTCCTGTAATGGGCCTTCGTCTCATTTATCGGTCAGAAACTGTAAAAACAGAAAAGAATCGTCGGATTTTGAAGCTTCTGAAATTTAATCACAGTCGCTTCATTCATTCATTCAGTCTCACTTAAATATGTGCCAAAAAATAAACTGTTTGCATGAAGCAGGTTCTGTAAAAAAAACAAAGCAAGTGATTTTGATTGAGTTTTTGGTTCAACTGCAGGTGGTGTGAAGCACAAAACAAGACTCAGAGCAACACATGACAAGAAGAACAAGACGCAAAGTGAGAAAAACGAAACACAAAGTCAGAAAAACGAAGACACAAAACAACAGGAAGGAGACCAAACTGTCTCGTGTAAATAGTTGAATATCTGCAGTAAGGCGCGTCTGACATGTCGACTCCTGGATTTTAACATCTTTGCTTTTTCTTTTCTTAAGAAGTTAACGAAACAAACGAGACACAAAACAGCAAAAAGGAAACCAAACTGGTTCTAAAGGTTTGTAGAGGCTGTAAAAATGTGAACATCTAAACATCTCCAGGACGTGGAGACGACGTGTTGCTGCCGCTGATTCCAGGTTTTTTCATTTTTTGTAAAATAATCAAAGAAATTCAAGTTTCTTTTTGTTTTTAAAAAAAATAATTTCCATCATTCCAACTGAGTCCTTCTGACATCTCTGAGTTCTTCATGTGGTTCTGGTTCCACAGAGCTGCAGGACTTCCTGTTGCAGACAAACATGAACCTCAGTGAAGGTAGACGTTACCTCTCTCGAAGATGTTGGTGGAGGCGCAGCTCAGCAGCTTCTTGATGCAGCCGACACTGTTGTTCTTGGCGGCGTAGAACAGAGGAATGTCGTTTATGCTGCAGAGCGGAAAGAAAACACACCGTGTCAACCTCAGGCATGGTTCCTTCAGACAAGATCTGTCGTCAGGTTTCAGTACTTTTTCGTGTGGAGCAGGAACGTCTCGTCCAGCATCTCGTTCCATCCTTTCTTGTTCTGGAGGCGGAACTTCAGCTGGCTCCACCAATGGTTGAGCTCGCTGGGAGCCGACCTGGCCAATGACGGAGACATGGACGCCAGACGTTCTACTGCAGGAAGTAACGGGAGGGTTAGCCAGCTGAGAAGGTTCTGCAAGGTTCTACTCTGGGAAGTTTTCTTTTAGTTCCCCAAATGTTCTTCTTTGAAGTACGATAACTTAAGAATAAATGTTATTTTATATCATGAAACATAATAAAAATGTTTTGGTGATAACATTGTTGCACCACAGTGACGTTCTCAAAACCGAATGTTACACGTAGAACGTTCTCCCGTTGTTATTTTGTAACACTGGGGTTCTAGATTCTATCCTGTGTTCCCCAA